AGAGAAAAGTGTACCGAAAGTTGATATTATCCGCAGTAAATTCAGATTTTCATAAAAAATCTATCATATGCAATCCTAATTAATGTTTGATTTACATAGTATATTGAACACCCTAATGTGGCATGGAAAGGCTAGAGAACACCTGATGGGATAGCCTTACAGGTGATATATGTAGCAATTAAATGTATAACCAATGATTTCTTGTAATATAATGTATAAGATATTGAAATAATAAAGTATGCTACCTGTGTCCCAGATGTAAATCACGCATTATGGAAAATTTAAAAAAAAAAAAAAAACTAAAAATAGAAAATATTGTATAACCATAGTAGAAATAGCAAAATATATTAGCATAATATTCTGGTACCTATTTTTCTATTAAAAAAATCAAATAATAAATAACACTTTTTTAAAAGTATAAGTTGTACTACAGTATATATATGAGTGTTATAGTAATATTTTATTATTTTAAATAGTTAATTTATTTTTTGTATCTAGATATTTTACAATTTTAAATGCAATTAATTTGTTTTTAATACTTGAAGTACTTTATATTTTAGGCTTTTGAAAATATTTGGTTACAACATATATATAGTATTTTTGTATTTAATTTAAATTAATCAATTAGCTTTTATTTATTATAATATAAGTAATTTGTGTATAATGCTGCATATGACTATTGGAACTTGGTTCTAAAAGGTTTTTTAAGTCCTAAGTTAACTCAAAAAAGTTTGATTTAAGTTAACTCAAAAAACTAAACCTTTAATATTTCTATATACAGTATATATATACTAAATATAAATACATAATAAATCTTCATGAACTTGGGCAGCTTAATTAGAGCTATTTATCTTCAGCTCAAGCTGTTTGTAGATATGAATTCAAAAGTCATGATTGAAACATGGTTAGGCTACAATTAGATTAATTTGGCAATTTTGCTAGCAGGTGACCCGCGGGTTGACCAACCGGATGGTTATAATAATAATAATAATCAGGGTTGTTGGCGGTAAATTTACGCTAGTAAATTACGGTAATTTACTGTAATTTACCAAAGGGTGGTAAATTTACCTTTATATACTTAAAGTTGAGTCTGTCTATGTAGTTTGATTGGCCAAAAATTTTTTTTTTATCATCAAATCACATGATTTTATGTTATACAACCCTTTTTAAGAACAACGAAGGGTAAATTTACCGGTAATTTACCAAATAACCTGGTAAATTTACCAAAAAATTTTAAAAATTACGGTAAACCAACAACCCTGGTCATAATTCAACCCGGGTGATACCTACCCGATCGGAACACTAATTGAAATATCGATAAAGATGGATTTTTGGTTTGTTAGATATGAAAGTAGAAATAATGGTATTTTTAGAATCGTTGCATTCAAACCTTGTTGACTGTTTAAACTAAAAAGAATTTCTATTCAATTTGAATAAGATTAGTTTATAGGAGGGAGGGTCTTATAGTTGACCGTATTTTTTCATATACAGTCGCACCCCCCTAAGTGCACACCCCTCGGGAAAAAATGCAAAATGTGCACTTAGAGGAGGTGTGCACTTAGGATTAAATTTTATAATAGTTATATGAGTTGGGACCCAAGCAGAGGCGTGCATATTAGAGGAGTTTTTCATATACCGTGCACTTAGGGAATGTGCACTTAGGGGGTCTGACTGTATATATATTTAAAAATTAAATGTTTACGAATTAATATGTATAAACAATAAATACTTTACCCTAAAAAAAACATTGTTTCCTCCAACACCAGACATTAAATCACAAAAAAAACTTTATGAAAACCAAAACTTATTTTGCATGGTCTTATAATAGTTTTTTTGATAACTTTATTAGATTCAAAGCTTAAGTAAATATACAAAACCTGATTCTATTGTTAGTAAAATATTTATAAAAACTATTATTATTATTATTTATTAAATTTTAAAGCTATAATGGTAGCAGGAATACAGCCGTTTTCAAAAATTTGTGGAAGATGCAGATTATTATATCATGAAGAATTCACGATATCAGACCCGGGTTTTTAGTTTTTATTAAGCAGAATTTCGATTCCCCACGAGTATGGAAATTGTTTTCATATCTTTTTGAAACAACTGCAAGTAAATTCCTCGTAGTGTGAAATAAATAGTATTTACGTACTTGTTCTTTCCTATTGAGCGGAGGTTATTTCTCTACTGAATTTGAATTAAATTATATTCCTAAAATATGGGCCTAAATTAGTCAAACGGAGAATAATATTTAGTTTATAAATATTTGGACATTAATAAGTGCTTATGTTTCACAAGTAACAACATGATGGAAAGACAATGTTTCTGTTTTAATTTAGGATTTGTTTTTGTATTCGGGTTTATTTAATATTTTATCGTTATGTATTTCAACTGGTTTAGTAATATGCAACGATATTACTGTACATATATTGTGCCTTGGATCAACGCTTGCGTCGCCTTTGCCTGAGTTAGGGTTAGGATTAAGTGTATAATTCTGGTCAAACAATCATACAACTTAATCCGAGACACAACATATCAAACCCAATCGTATTAATTGGTTTATTTCAAATTATTCGGGTAATCTAATAATTGGGCCGATACTCTCCCCGGAGATTAATTTTGTTTAGACAAAGTGATACAAAAAAGTTAGATTTTTGATGCATCAACAATTATGTTTAGCATTTTTAATTGACTTATATCATCGTATCAATAATGTAATTTTGAAAATTCATATCTGTCCGTACACATGTCTATATTAATATTTGAGTGACTTAATATGTAATAGTTATATCCTGGGCAGTTGGGTATAAGCGGGACTTTCAGCCCCGCTTATACACATAGTGCCCAGGGTATAAATGATTTATGCCCTGCGATCTTGATAGTGACCAGGGTATAAAAACCATTCCATTCCATACTGGTTATACTGTATGCCACACCATTCAATTAAATGGAGTGGTTTATATCCAGAGCTACTATCACTATTATTCGGTTGTTTTAACCAATCAGAACGACTCTACGAAAAAAAGATTATCTTTTTTTCATCGAAATGATGATTCTCACTTTAGACGTTCTCGACATTCCCTGGATGCGATTTTCTGGTGATCGCAATTCCTTAGATGCGATTTTGACTATTCTCACAATATACGACAGTACGAATGATGTTATTGAAATTTGCTCAAGTATGACATTTACTGTGATTGCTAATAATTGTAACGATGTACGATAGACCAAAATAATGTCCTCAATCAGTGTTTATCGGCTCTGTGATTTATTAAATGTTATCGAAAATTCGAAATACAATAAGTAATAAGAAGCATCAACCCGGTTACCTTTGTTGTTTATTTATGTAATTTATGTAATTTAATTTCCATATATATATTATTATATAATTTGTTAAGAGTAATATGATTGGTTAAAAATACTTTCTGCTAATTTCCGATACATTTCTAATACGATTTTGAAAACACCTTTTGTCAATTTAGTTAGCAATTAATAAAATTTACCTCCAATATATTAAGTGAAGTGCTTGAAGACCCGTTATTTGGCTATTGGAAAATGAGTACCACGTGGTGGGCTCTGGATACAAAATTCTAAATTCCTAAATAGCACTGTGATTATTGATATATTGGCCCCAAAATGCCCAATATTACGCAAATGCGTATATGTTTGTTACATTAATATACAAAAATAAGCCCGCGTGCGAACAATTTACCAAATTACGTATCTATAAACATCTATCACTTGATATAGAAATTGAGTTCTCCACCAACACTTCGCATTACAGATTTTGGCATTAGCAGACAATTATTATTTTTGCACAATCTCGGGTGAATTTAAGCCTTTGCATTGAGATCAATACGTCATCATTTGTCGAACAACATACGTACTTGTTAATTTGTCTCCTTATCATAAGTAGTACTCATTATATTTGCATAAAAAATTTAAAAAAATCCGACACAAAAACAGGCAAATTAATGAAAAAAAAAATGCATATTATGTTACCTAAATTACACATACCAACGTGGTTCGCCTTTAAGAGAATAAATATACGTCTATCAAGCCAAGATAGTCTTCGACGAATTCCCGTTTATTAACGATAAAAAATAAAGGTAAAATGCACCATAAGTGCATTTTAATAATTTTAATAAAATAAAAACCTTCTTTTACTAATTTAAAGCACAAGCAGATTTTTTTTTTTTCTCTGAGCCCATAAAAAATAATCACAACCCTAAGGGATTTAGTTTACTAAAATGCCAATATAATTTTAATACATAAAAATAAATACTATATAAGTGCAGTCAAAAAATAATTTTAAATACCGGTAATAAATACAGTAAAATAAACGGGATTGCTTTTTTCTTAATATATAAAGTTACTCGAAAATTCTGTATATATATAAATAGTAATAGGAATGGTTAAACGAATAAAACTTTTTTTGATGCCAATAAAAAATATCAGGGTTTTTTTCTAATAATCTATCAATAAACATAAATGCTTAATAGATCAGTTAAAATTCAAAAAAAAAAAAAAATAAAGAACACTGAATGTGAACGTGAATGGTTTAGAACATGCGAACACAAAAAACTTCATAAAACGAGAGTACATACGGGAATATTTCATGCGTACATTGTGTGCATAAATTGTAACTGTTTATATTTATTCTTACCGCATAAGTAATTTACAATCCCAACCCTAAATAGTAATTTTTTATATTAATTTTTTATCACCCTCCCAAAAGGGTATTTGTATTAAATTTTTTTATACAGTTAAATGTGCTCGAAACATAGCACAGGTGATGACATATAAAAATAATCAATTGAGCAATTGTTGTCTTGTTCTTTTCGACCCATTTTTTAAAAAAATGCACACTCCTTTAATGAGGGTATGATATCATCTAAAACTAGAGATAGTTTAGCGGTAGAAGTTGTTGGCGTTGCCATATACATTTGCCTATCCGACCCTCAAACCTTCCTTACAAAACTCCCTATAAGTACGGCTAAATGAGACAACTCATTAGTCTCATCGTCTTCTTAGTCTTATCTTTAGTGGTCGGAGAGAATGGTAAAGATTCCTTGCTTTTTTTACAAAAAAAAAAAAAAAATCCAATTATTTATAAATAACTAAAAGTTCAAACCCATTTATTTATAAAGGGTTCATACATGCTTATTCTGGAATATGGAGTTCTACAGGGCAAAGTTTAACAAGTTATAAAAGTTTAGAAAAGCGGATGAATAATGTTGTCGGTATGTGTCATTATCATTATTACTAGTATATTAATGTAATAAAATATCAAAGTATTCAATTTTTATTCTGTAATAAGGTCAAAGTAATAGAGATATAATCAAGGCATCAATAACAACGTCATGTAAGAATTTTATCCATTATTAATTAATTAATTAATTCATTCATTAATTAATTCATTCATTCATTCAATTCATTCATTTAATTCATTCATTTAATTCATTCATTCATTGAATTCAACTATGAAACTTAACAATTAATTCTATTGAAATTTGATAAAATTTATAGATGATGCCCATCCGACAATACATAGAGCAACGTTAAAAAAGGCCTCGACTGGGTCGAGCGCTTCTAAAAGTAATATGTTAATAAATATAAATAAAAAAATATCAAGTTCTAATGCCCCTTCTCCCACGACCACTAAAAGAGCGTTCCCTGAAAATAAAGTGGACGATTACGTAAGAGCTCGAGCCGTCTCACCCGATATTCCACTACCTAACCTTCAACCTAATAGTCAATCTAATAGTCAATCTAATAATCAACCTAGTAGTCAATCTAATACACAATCTGATAATACTCCACAAAATAACAATAACCCTGATACATCGTCTAAATCGTCTGATACATCACAAACTAACAATAAACCTAATACACCATCTACATCATCCGATACATCACAAAATAACAATCAACCTGATACATCATCTAAATCGTCCGATACATCACAAAGCAACAATCAACAATCCAACTCTAATTCAAAAGATACTCCAATTGATATTTCACCAACTGATTCAACTGATACCTCAAATGGCAAAAATTCAGCCCCATTAATTGACGAACCAACCGATCCACCAACTAACGACAAATCACAAACTGATAACACATCAACCAACCAACAAAACTCACAACCTGACAAATCACAATCTGATAACACATCAACCAACCAACAAAACTCTCAACCTGACAAATCCTCTCCGATAGACACCAGCCCTAGTGGGACATCAGATTCTAGTTCGCCATCAGGAAATAGTATACCTTTACCAGACATACCAGTTCCCAGTTCGTCATCAGATTCTAATTCGCAACCTGACCAACCTGTACGTGCTGTCTCTCAAGCAGCAGATCCATCAACTCCCAATGCGACACCAGATTCTAGTTCGCAATCAGGAAATAGTATTCCTTTACCAAACATACCAATTCCAAGTTCGTCATCAGATTCTAATTCGCAACCTGACCAGCCTGTACGTGCTGTCTCTCAAGCAGCAGATCCATCAACTCCCAATGCGACACCTGATCCTAATTCGTCATCACAACCACAAAACACACCAGCTATTTCTTTACCAGACATACCGATTCCCAGTTCGCAACCAGATCCTAGTGCGCCACCTGATCAACCTGTACGTGCTGTCTCTCAAGCACCACAACCACAAGACACACAAAATCAAAATATTCCTATGCCAAGTCTAGCAATTCCAAATCAACCGTCACCAGATCCTAGTACTCCACCTAACCAACCTGTACGTGCTGTCTCTCAGCCAAATCAAGTTCAAAATCCTACACCGGCACCAAATTCTAATCCTTCAAATGTTATTCCACCTCCACTAAATCCTACACCGGCTCCAAATGCTAATCCTAGTGCGGTGGCACCAAATGCCAATCCTAGTGCAGCGCCACCAAACTCACCAAATCCTACTGCGGCACCTGATTCTCCACAAGCTGCATTTGCCACACCAATTGTGACAGTAGTTCCTGTTAATAGTAATTCACCAAATGGTGCTTCACAAACAATTACTTTAGTACCTACTAGTGAAGTTTTAACTAGTGTAGTTCCGACAGTTGCAACAATATTAAATAGTAAATCTAGTTATCAATTAACAACATATAGTGTAACAAATCTTATTACAACTAGTTATTTGGCTCCTAAACCAATGGGATCTTATACTCCAGAAGGTTCTTCAATAAGTAAACCTTCTAACACAGGTTCAGGCTTAGATTTTTCAGATACTAGTCATATTATTGGACCAATATTAGGCGCAATAACAGCTGCTGTGTCAATAATGTTTATTGCAGCTTTAGTTATTATTAGGAGAAAAAAGAGTGCCAAAGAAGGACATTTTAAACTTGATGAATTCGATTATGATGAATTTGATGTTAATAACATGTTACAATCACCAGAGATGGCACATATGGATTCTTATAATGATGCAATTGATCCATATTATAATACCATTGATATTGAAAGTACTAGTAGTAGTAATGGTGGCTCTGGTGCCGTTGGTATGTTGATTGATGTTCCAACTCCGACTACTCCGACTCCATCTTATGATGGAAGAAGCAGATTCACTGAAAAGTTCTAATATACTGTATAACATGTATGGTTTATAATCCAATAGTTATTCATTATAATTAAACATGTATAACTTTTATGTATTATATGTTTAAGATTTTTTTTTCAATCTTGTAATATTTTTAATGTAATAATTTATTTATTTATTTTTTCTTTTTTTTTCTGAAGGAAAGATTTAACCTTTGGATCAAATGCAGTGTAGCCCACATCATTAATAAAAATTGATTATTAATTAATTGATTAGAGTAAGTGTGGATTATACTTTATTTGATCCTAATTTTTTTTCCTTGACAACACCAACTAACTTAATACAAAATAGATAAACACACACACACACACAAATCACAATTTTAATAATTGAATTAACAAAGCTGTACAATAAATTTTTTTTTCGGTGGCGATATCATTATCTGGTTGTCATCTTGTCATCTTAATAAAAAATAATAGTATATCTTTTAAAAAAAAAACATTGCAACGAATTTACCTAAATGTTGTGTGAATAAGCAATAATGTAAGAAATGTTTATAATAACACTACCTACTTTAGGAAATGTATACTTTTGTGTGTAGTACGTAACAATAAGTACTTGTTTGACTATTTTTAGAAACTTTTAAGCGACGCATCAAATAATTTTTCACGCGCATTAAAGTACGTATAACATACAACATAATGTTATAAAAACGTACATAGGGGAGGTCGCACGAAATGGTATAATCTCTTGATTGTTTGCATTTAACAGTTTAATATACTGATATAGACAATATCAATCCCGATCACTACGCCAAGATCATAGGATTATTAATAAGATAATTTTATCACATAAAAATACCACAAAATAATTGATTTATTTTATAGGCTGTTAATAGTAAGCATTGAATAATACTGTAGATTATAATAGAATACAACACTGTATTACTTTTTTTCTAAGGAAAATGACTTTTCGAAACTATGTATGTTTAGATTTTGTAAACAAACATTTACCATTATTAAATTTGAATAAACTTTATTTTATTTATAGATAAAACATTGACATTGGCCCTTTAACTATCGTTATTAATTTGTTAAAAGAATTTTTGACATATTGTTATCGACTGTGATATAATAAATTAAACGTTTTATGTATTAAAAAAAAAAATTCGATCAATTCATATTGGGATTGCTTCCATTTTGCTGTTGTGTTTCAATCAAAAACTATAATTTTTTTTTTTATTGCTTCTGTCCTCAATGTTAACCAGTTATGGCATTCAAGTCTTTTCGTATATTAAATCAGTGATTAGACTAAGCTTTCATCCTCGGTTACTACGTTTTTCCTTGTATAGCATTATGATAAGGCGATAAATGTCAATGTGCTGATTTTTTTTTAACGAGACTAGTCAGAGGGTCATTATTGCTTAGTAAGCTCTATAAAACGGCTTAAACAACTTTCGAAACTGTGTAAATTTTATGAGCAAAATTTACTATCATCCAATAGTTCAACTTTTTTTCGTATTTTTTTTTTAGTAATAAAAGCCTCAATATCTCTTAGACAATAATCTCTTAACAATAAGGATATTGTTCTACTGCATACTTTGTCATAGAGTTCGTTGTATAACGAAACCTCTTTATTTCAAACATGTAGTGTTATCGATTGGATGTTTTCAATCAATCAATTTATTAGAATTGAAACTCCTAATATTTTTAACCAATCAAAATTATACTAGGTTATGCTTAATTTTCGCAAACGGCCGAATCCCTACCGTTAGCTACGTACTAGTAAGTAGCAGATACCAAGAGGTAGGTTTGTTGCAAAACTCATGGGATTTGGTATTGGTCGCGGACAAACCCGGATAAATG